ATGTCTCTTCTTAATCCATATAAGATAGTGAATATCTTGAGAAGAAGACAAATGCCACATCCTTCTATAAAAATAGCTAATGATTAAATATTCAAAATAAAAGAAGTCTTAGATTCAAGGCAACACCAAAATAGATTAGAATATTTTATTCATTGGTACAAATTATTATGGACAAGAATCTCAAAGAAAGAAAATCCTCAATACACTCTTGTATTATTGAAAGGAAGTAGAAAGTCACTCAAAGATGATATAACATTGAAATAGAATGGCTATTACCAAAAACAAAAAGACTAGAAAGTCTTGAAACAAGTCTAAGGATTAAAAAGATGTTGACAAGAGTGAAGAAGGCTTCATTCTTGCCTCTATATATATATTCTCTAACTAAGAGCTACATGGCAATATTCTATTAGATCTCCAATATGTGTTGACTTTGTTAGCCACATGTCTTAACTTACAAGGCAAGTTATCTATGTATGTGCTACATAATTAGTTTGTTTCACAAGCTACTATATGAAGTTAACTTGTTCTATAAGCTACCAACACAAGGTTAACTTGTTGGCTAAGTTTCTAACCTACAAACACATCTAAAGTCAAAATTGCATCTATACAGCTTCTAATAAGCTATGCTAGAAGATTTTATGAAATTAATCTATATTTACATACTTCTACCTAATCATATAAGTAACTATTGAGATAAATATATGTGTCCATGACATTACCTTTGTTTCTATGGATAAGTTTGACGAGGAGCAGTCATCATCTTTCATGGATCTTTATAATTCTTCAACTTCATTTTGATGGATGTTGTCGATGAAAAGCTTCAACTTTCTTTGATGTATTTGCAAGATTCTTTGTTGGCTCCTATGTGCATTCACTAATATCATATCCATGCCAATGACAAAGATATTTCAATTTATTTTGGCATCACGTTGAATCTAAGACTTCTTCTACCTCGAATTTATGATTATTATCCACTTTAATAGGAGGAGGTGGCATTTGTCTTCTTTTCAAGATATTTACTATCTTATATGGCTCAAGAAAGGATAAATAAAATATAGGGTGGTTCTTCATAGACTCCGATAGATATAATTAATAAGCAACAGGATTGATTTGTTTACAAATAAGAAATGGTCTTAGTTTACAATAGTCCAACTTATCAGAAGGATGAATAATCTTGATACTGCAACAAAGTAATCATATTTTTTCATCTACATTGAATTATGGTTGCTCCTTGCGATAAGTAGCCGCCTTGGTCTTTTGTCGTTCTTGAACTTCTTTAAATTGTGTCTTCATTGTTGCATGTAGCTCTAACAAACAATTTGTTAAATTTCCATTGTAAAATTATTAACTTTTTAAAAGTCAAAAGTATCAAGTTGTAGATGATAACCATAATTGGCAAAAAAAAGGTGTTTATTGAGTAGCAAAATGTACTAAATTATTGTATGCAAACTCTTCTAATGGTAAAAGAGTTTTCTAATCATGTTGATGATAGTTGATGGTATATCTCAAATATTACTCCAAACTTGATTCACCCATACCGTTTGCCCATTAGTTTGAAGATGAAAAGCTAAAAAGAGTTTTATATCTACTTTTAAAAACTTAAATTGGATTCTTCAAAATCTTGATACAAATTGAGTCTCCCTATCAGATATAATATCTTTTGGTAATCCATGATAGTAATAGATATTATCAATGAAAAACTTAGCTATTTTTTTACTTGAAATAGATTTTGTACATGATACAAAATATACCATTTTGATGAAGTAATCTACAATTCCAAATATAGAATCATATGAACTTGAACTTGAAAGCTCTATAATAAAATCCATAGAAATGAAAGTCCATGGTTATTCAGATATAGGCAATGGTTGAAGTCCATAGGATTGATGATGAAGAATTTTTGATTTTGAACAAATGTCACATGAATGGACAAAGTTTTTTTACCACCTTTCACATTTGTAATCTCTAAAAATCTTTAGAAATAAGCTCTAAAGACTTATTGTATCCAAAATATCCTACTGTTGGAAAGTCATGATATGCTTTTCCTTCTGGAATATATATGTGTCTTTCAAAATAAAGAAGGTTGTTCTTGAACTCGAACTTTGAAACATCATGAAACTTGGAAGAAAGATTTTTGATATCATGAATAAGAAGATCAAAGGGCATACTTGATTGAATTTGTTTGACAAAGCTCAAATCGACAATCAATGACAATTTCATTGCTCAAAGATAAAAATGCTCTCGCTTCAAGATGATTGTTCTTTCTTGATCAAAAGATATGTCTCTTTCTTTCGATCCAAGATAAGAGCGTTTAGAAAGAACATCTGATAAATCTTATTTTTTTCTAGGTCGATATGTAATCTTGAAATCAAATCTTGATAATGACAAGCTCTAACAAAGTAGGCAACGATTCAAAATATGTGCCTGTATGAAATACTCGAGATTCTTGTGATATATATATATATATATATATATATATATATATATATATATATATTATAACAAGTTTTAAAGTATCCTCTAGATAATAACGTCATTCTTAAAATGAATCCACATTTGCAAGAAGTTCTTTTTTGTAGATCTCGTAATTAATCTTGGCAGTTGAAATTTTTTAAAATAGAAAGCTACTGGATGGACTTTGTCATCTATTCTAATTTGTGACAATACTTCATTCGAGGCAAAGTCTAATGTATCTGTTTCCATAAAGAATGCATTAAAAAATTTGACGCAATACAAAGTTGGTACAAAAATAAATTCTTTCTTCAAAGCAACAAACAATGCTTCTACTTCTTTATTCCACTCAAGTTTGTCTTTACAAGTCAAATATGTAAGTAGAGCTACAACTTGACAAAATTTCTTGATAAAGATTTGGTAGTAATTGGCAAAGGCTAAAAAGCATTGTACATCTTTTACTATTCTTAAGATCTTCTAATCTATGATAATTTGGATCTTCTTTGGAGCTGTTATAAGGCCTTCATTGGAAATGATGTATCCCAAAAAGTCAACTTGAGTAATGTGGAATATATACTTTTTTATCTTTGGATATAAACTTGCATCTCTTAGTTTTTGTAATACAAAACAAATATGAATTTCATGCTCTTCTGTGTTCTTAGAATAGATTAAAATGTCATCTAAATAATAAATGACAAAATCATCAAGAAACTCACAAAATACATCATTCATTAGATGTTGGAAAGTAGCTGGTATATTTGTGAGTCCAAAAAGCATGACATTATATTCAAAATATCCATACTTACTTCGGAAAGTAGTTTTTTATTCATCTCCTTCTTTAATGCAGACTAATTATATGTTCTTTGTAGATCTATTTTTGTATAGATCTTTGCTTGATTTAGTTAATCACAAAGTCCTGAAATCAAAGGTAGAGGATACCTATTCTTCATGGTGACCTTGTTAAGTCCTTGATAATCCATATATATCTACAGAGATTTGTCCTTTTTATTTTTTCACAAATAAGATAGGAGTTTCGATTGGAGATTTAAAATAGCATATAAAGTTCTTAGCCAAGTTTTCATCAATGTACTCTTTGAGTGCAACCAACTTATTTTGTGATAGGCTATAGATTGGTGTAAATGGTAGTTGAGTTCTTTCTTGAAGATCAATAGTATAATCATAAAGACAATGCTCCGAAAGAATATATGCATTCTTCTTTTCAAAAACGTCCTAAAAATCTTGATACTAACTAGGAATATCACTTAATATCTTCTCACTATCAACAATGGACATAGTACATGTAACAAAAGTTGGCCCTTCATTTGCGGCATGCATGAAAGCTTTTATACATATTAATAAGGATTTGGATATATTAGACTTATGGATTTTTACTTATCTAGTAAGACCTTAGGCTAAATTATGGAAAAAATTGAGATTGCAAGAAATCTAGTCTATTTGAGGATTATATCTTTCTAACTATGATAATCCTAAAATAATTGGATCAAAAAGAGATTTAATCACATTAAATATTACTAAACTACTGTGACCACTAATTGCTACTTCTATAGAAATAATTTCATGTGTAACATCCCAGAAGATAATGAACATCCATCTATTACTTCTACATGGATGGATTTGATTTTCTTAATTAAAGATATATCTTGTTTTTTGACAAAGTCTTCATCTATAAAACAAGCTAAGACTCTTGAATCTAATAAGGTTTAGATTTTGTGATTTTTGGTCCTAAACAGACTTCTATTATAAAATAAGATAAGAGATTAGATGAAAAAATATGACCTTAGCTAGATGTTATACATGATTCGAATTGCATGTTCTCTATCGTAGCTGAAGCAAGTGATTTTCCAATATATTGTCTTTTTTGACAATTGTGCTTCTCATTTTATAATTGCATTGTTTCTTTGGACTATGTTGAATAGGATTTTTAGCTTCTCTACAATATAAGTATAAGCCCTCTTGACATCGTCAACTCTTTTCCTTCTGTATGAGGAACTTAAAATGTATCATATCAATTTGCATTGGTTTTGGCTTTGATAAATAAGTTTTTGAAAAGTACTTGTAGAACGAATTTCCAACATGTGCTCTATGTTGCTAATTTGTAATACAAGTAGTCAACATGTGTGACATGTGACTAACTTGTTGGCCAAGTTTTCAAGGTATCAATTATTTACAAACATGTTTAAAGAATAAAAAAGAAGTTCTAACTCTAGTCTATAATATAAGTAAAGATATATAAAAATATATTTTTTATTTTTTATTTAAAAAAAAACAACTATACAAATTATCTTTAAAAAAATTCCATGTGATTAAATATAATATCTCATCTACTACTGATTGTGTTGTTTTGTATACTTTAAATTCTCCATGCCAATATAATATTTGAGATTGTACACTTGCATGAAATATGTCTACTTAACAATGTACAAAAAAGAATTTTTGTTAGGATCGAAAGTTGAAACACAATGGAAAGAAAGGAGCGTGTCAATCAAAGAAACCCTAAAACACAATCTAGTCATGGGGGGAATGGAATTGAGAAACGGCTCATCATCGTAGTCGTCGTCATCCACGGACGACGACGAAGGACGAGACGTGAAGAGTTTTGCAGCGATGTCGAGAGATTGTAGGACACGGTGCTTTGTCGCAATGTCGGAATGCCATGTGAGTTTGAGAACTGTGCACAGTTGGGTTGCTTCGGAGTAGAAGGGCGATTTTGTACAGCCCACTGGAAAGGCGTTGCGGGAATGCTACGCAATTGGGTTTTGAAACTCGCGCCTGAATTTAGAATTTCACATGTTAGGGTTCAAGCAGAGCTTAACGACGCCGTCCTGTAGGCATGGAGTTCGCACTCTGTTGAAGCGCATCGAGAAAACTTTGCAGCTGTATTCCACTTCCTTCTCCATGTCGACGACTGCTGAGGGCACTACCGGTGCCTCGGGGAAGTCCATGCCGACGAAGAAGCAGATCATCGAGAAGAAGCTTGCGGAAGCGTTGGCTCCAGCGCTCCTGGAGGTGGAGGATGTCTCTTACCAGCATGCTGGCCACGCTGGTGCCCCGAAAGGCTCCTCCGAAACGCATTTCAATGTGAAGGTTGTGTCTGAGCAGTTTCAAGGGCGGAATCTGCTAAAACGGCATCGCCTCGTGTATGACTTGCTACGCGATGAGCTCCAGGAGGGCGGAGTTCATGCTCTTTCTCTCAACACTAAAACACCAGCTGAGGTCGGTCCCAAGCCCTAGTGTTAATGCATCTGCTCCTCCCTTGTTGCCGAACAGAGGAATTAGGGTTTTCTTTTTGCACTTCAATTAAGTGCAATCAGCCTTTCTTGTGCAATTTAATCCAGCATTCGTATCGTAATGTATTCGTCCAGCTGTTGTCGCCATCTGCCATAACTGATTTGTGGGTTTGTTTCCTTTTTCTTGCCTTCATCATGCTGCTCAGCTATGTCGATTCTTTGTTGTTTCTCACTCGATACAGGTCTGGGTGGCAACTGGTTTCTCTTTTTTTGTTGTTTCTAGTGATCTGACTTCTAAAAATCAATATTACTTCTCTCATCCCGTTGTTTTGCAATGAATTATGTCGTTTGGTAAACAGGAGCAGTACTGAAAGTAATGCTTCATAGGAAAAACAGCTCTGAGCAGTTGAGTGTGTGTGTGTATGTGCTTATTTATCTATTTCACAAATAGAATCTCATTGTTCTAAACTCAGTTCTAAACTCTAAAGGAATTTACATCATGTCTTTATAAAAGTGGCTCTTTGTGCTGAGGTTTTGCTGAGATTGGGCAACTGGACCAATCAGCGCAACTATATCTTGAGTCTATCAACGTTGGCACATCGTTAAGGTACTGTTAATCTTAACAGGGTTTGAATATGTGAGATACATCTCTTCATCTTTGCTATTAAAAGCTGGTGAATTTAAACTAAAATCATTCAACATTTTTATCCCTACTTGATTATAGATGTACGATGTTCTCTTCGAATTTGCAAATTTCTACAAAATCAACTATTTCGTTATTTAGATAGGTTTGGGTGTAAATGAACACAATTCTTTTTTTCATTAATTTTTGATAAGTTTATTCAATTTTCTTAAAAATTAATCTTAAAATTTCTTAGAAGTATCTCTTGTTAGATTAATTTTTTTTAATAAAAATAAAAATAGTTTGTATTGTGCCATTTAGTGAATATTTTCCATTCTTATGTCATTATATCATTGTGTATCCAAATTATTGCTTATTGGAGTTCATATGATACGTATGACCATGTTAGTATCATTTTATTTTTATAAAGATATTCACAAATGTTTTATTTGATTTTTTTGGAGTGGACAGTATTGTATTACATTAAGTCTTGCTTGAAAATGCATTGAGCACATGCCTATGGAATGTAAAAAGGAAATTGCAACAGCAAGATCTTAACAACTCTAATAGAATCTTTAATAAGTTCCAATTAAATCTTAATAATGTTAATCAAGCTTTAATCAAATCCAAAAGAAATCTTAAAGAAATTATGAAAGAAACATGAAGAAATCCTAAAGAAATATTAGATTAAAATTTAACCAAATCTTATTTTAATCTTAATTGAAACCCTTATGGATCTTAAATAAATTTTAGGTCAAACACTAACTAAATTCTAAACCCTAAACCATAAACCAAAGCTTAGACAAACCCTAAGCCTTAAATAAATCCTAAACCAAATCTTAATCAATACCTAACCAATTCAAACAAATCCTAAGGCAGATTGAAATCCCAATATCTAATGTTTAAACCATTCATCTTACTTAAAAATTTACACATCTCTTAACTTCTTAATTAAAAACAAGTATAACAAATTTGAAGATAATTGCACTTACCAAATGGAAGAAAAACCCAAAAATTGGCTTGGATGTTGGCCAGCCTCCTCCAATCTAAATGTTGAACTTCCAGTGTCAATATCTCTTTTTTGAATCATTGAATTTCTCCCAAAAGTCAAACTATTGGAAATGAAATCTAGTCTCTATAATATATATATATATATATATATATATACTTCAATCCAATTTACAAATTGCTAAAGTTCTTAAAAATAATCATTGACCATCATACTCCAATTTCTAAGACCTCAATTTTTAAAAACCTTCACATACTTTGATCTAATCATTTGATTGACCTCAAAATTTGCACATACTTTTACAACTATTACACCAATATTTTATTCAAAATTTATCCATATTCATACAACAGAACTCAAGAAACCTTCAAAGGTGTAAACATAGTTTTATTTCTCAAAATTTAAACCAACCGAGAACATTACTAACTTTGAAAATCTCCCAAAACTGAATATTAACTCAATTGATATAAAACCAATGTCCAAAAATCTCTTTGCAAATTTGTTCTCAAACTCTACTTTTCAATCTACCAAAGAACCTTGGAGTCATTGTAGGTGTGTGGTTTTGTGCCTTAAGGTCTGATTTCAACCCAGGTTGACAATTGGATATATCTATGTATACATTTTATTTTTTGAAGAATTTAAGATAGTGAAAATGTTAAATTAAAAAAATTAAAAAAAAAAATCAACTTGTAGAATTAAAAGTATATATTATAATATTAATAATAATTTTAAATTTCTATTAATAGATATCTTAGTTCTATAAAAGAATTCAATTATGTCTTATAAATTGTATGTAGGTATTCTATTTTTTTGATATTACAATAGTTCTTAAATTTTGGTTACTATCTTGCTTTAGTAACATATTTTACATTTAAATATTAAGATGTTTCTTGTAAATTTTACAAAAACTCTAAATATTATTTATCTATTTTAGAAACATTTCTTTTGAATTCAACTCAATATTGTATTTAGTAAAAATAAGAATAAAAGACATGTCATGTTTTTCTTATTACTTTATCTCTTATTATTTTTCTTCTACACACTTCATCTTCTTCTTTCTTGCATAGATATGTATTATAATAAATAAATAAGTAAATAAAATCCTTAATGAAATCTACTTTATATCTAATTAAACTAATTTTATCGAATTTCAGTTCATGATTTCTTATCTTTGTAGCCTCACAATGACAAATTGGAAGATTTTAATAAAATCTTAAAATCCCTAAATTTGGATGTATATATATATATATATATATATATATATACACACAAAAAATATACAAATCTTTAATATACTAATTATTTTTGAAATAGTATCTTTAAAAAAATTAACAATGAAAACTTGTATAAGATTTAACATTCTTGTACAATTTAACAACATTTCAAAATATATGTTCATTCTTTGATCATATATTTTTAAAAAAATATTTAAAAGTTAAATAAATCATATATTTAAATATATTTGATTACTTGTGTGGCAATGTGGGAGGAAAACCTTTGCAGGGTTAAATCAGCCATGGACGGGGACAGATGAATATACTATTGGAACAATGCACCTTGAATCCAAGTCAAAAGGACATTCTCAAAAGCATCTTGAAAATGCTTTGGCACAGAAGCACATCAATCAAATATCATGTGCACTACAATTTCCTTACATTCTCAAATATTCTTAAGTATTAAAAAACCTATGATTCTCCTTGTTAAGAAAGTACACACATATAGCTAAATAAACAAAAAGGAAAATTACCACAAACAATATTTTAATAACAGTTTATTTTTTATTTTTTTATACAGTTGTTTACAAATATATTTAAATAATAATTTGTTGAAGAATGATTTTGTTTTGTTCTGTTTTCTCTTCTGTATAATCTTTCCTGTACATGTGCGGCTTGTGGAACAACTTCAAAGAGAAATACTGGAGTGTCGAATGGTGGAGTCATGATATGTTTTCAGTTCCCATATCTGGAAGACATCAAATGATGAATAGAAAGAAAAGGACATTTAAGGAATTATAGCATAATTGAACAGTATGCAAGCATCAGTTTTCACAACAGTTCTCAATTTCAGAAGGACAACATTTCTACACTTTGGCTAGGAAAGAGAAGAAGTGCCTATGCTTCCCATAAGGCCATTGTATTTACAAAATGTTGAGTATAGTACAATGTGAAAGCCAGTGGCTTTATCAGGAAGAATGCCATGCCCAGCGGAGTATATACATTGTAACTACCCCTGGCATGATACCCTCTGTAATGGACATTATTGTATCTTAAAGCAAAGCCATTGTGAGCACTCAATTAGAGACTTTTCTCTGCAACTGGCCCTCCGTAACCTAAGACTTCACAAGATGAAAAGGCATCCAATAGATGTTGCCTGCTCTAATAACGGTGTTGACAACCCTAAACTAAGAACAAGCAAAAGGCAGTTTTTCTCGGCAGGAAACCACCACTCCTTATGACGACAGACCTTGAATCACATTCAGAAAACACCGAGAAACATGAATCAGAGCATGGTTCACGATCAACTGCATGAAAGGTAAAGCCAAAAATCCTCACGCGTCCGTTTCGAAGCGCAATCTGCATCAACTTTTAGAGATACCATCTCCGCTGAAATTTTCTCAACAACCAATCTTCCTCGTTCAAATGAGCTCCAGTCACACGCACGGAGTCATACGCACGAAAGTAGGCCTTCATGTGAAGTATGTGAGGACTTTTAGGACATCATTCTGCAACTCCCTTTTTAAGAGGAAGGTTCCCCTGGCGAACTTATTGAAAATCTGGGCTTGCCGAAACTGACAGTATCATCTAGCACTCCAATTCTAGACAGTTTATTTCTCGGGCTTGGCCTGCTCATGAAGCTGCTTCCTCGTACAGTCCCAGATTTAAGAGTGGGCATAGACACAATCGGTTGCTTTGATGCAACCTTTCCAGAGCTGCAACGCGGGCAAGCTGGGTCTTGGCGAGAGCTATCAGGGGTAATCTGCTCGAGGCATTCAGTATGATATGTGTGGCCACAAACCAAAACCCCAACTACATTGCATTCGTGAAAACCCATAAAACGCGAGGAGGCCCATGGAGATCGCTGAGTAAGTCCCCGTGAGCAGACACCACAATTCTGCACAGAACTCAAGGAATCAGAACATATGAATAAGGAGTAAGTTGGACATGACAACGTATTTGGAGCATGCACAACGAATGACGCAACTGTAATTTTACGTTTTATGAGAAAAGCTTGTCTATGTTCGAGTGATTGTATACAACACACTCATCCAATTTGTAGAACTAATTCCAAAACCAAACGGATTACATTAAAAGCAAGTACTTTTCCAGAATATCCAAGACTGAATACATCCACGACACTTAGCAAGACCACTAGCCCAATCATATTCATTAGGACGATTGCACATAGCTAAATCATTCGAAGAGCAAGATGAATAGGCTACCTCAGGACACGGGCTGGACGGGGTTGATTGAGAACTACGTGCGGTAATTTTCTCCATGCACATCTGACCTGAACCTCTATCATATTCCTCCGACCGGTTGGTACCCCAGTGGTAGTCAGATGGACTCGTGGCGTTTGATACCCTTAACCATTCCTGCCGTGCATCGGATCCCGCTTCCATAAAGCCATTGAACGATGACCAGTCAGAGCTCCCCCCTGCGCTAGAACTTCTACTGGAGTTTGATCGATGAAAGGAAAAGCGCCCATCCAAAGATGGCACTTGACCTGGACCTGTCGGAGGAAAACGTCCCTCATAATGTTCTCTCCGTGAAGGATTGCCAGGCACCAGGAATGAGGGCTTAGATAACGCGGAGTCGTTCCCATGGGAAGACGATGGTAAACCAGACTCTAAGTGAGGAGCAGGGGGGGCTTTTGTGACATTGAGAAATGACGATGAAGTGCTCTCGGATTTTATTGATATTGCAGGTGGACGAGTAAGAATGTGTTCCTGCAGATAGCGCAATGAATAAAATTGAAATCAAAAGTTTGTTTTAAAAATCTTTTGTCAATTCTATGTCTGAAACTTAGAACATGTATCCGGCTCCAGTAGTTCATTAGAAGCATTCTTTTCCTAACTCAATCCAAGTCAGACTCTACTACAGGAATACGTTACTTGATAAAAATATATATCTAAGTCTTAGGGCTCCATCCAGGACAGAGACTAGACAAAAATTGAGTAGAAGTTGCGTTAGTACTTACCGCTTTGGAGGAGTGTGCCGAGGTTAGAGGGCTTGCTACTATTTCTGCAGGATCAAAGTTTGAAAATTGTCAGGCTAGGATGGCAGCCTCCACTTCGACGATCATGATAACAGTCCAGCATAGACGAAAAAGACAGATAATTCATGAGTCTCAGAAGCGGAACTGCAGTTTATGCATCTCGTTATGATTAGTGACAACTTGATTCTGCGTTACCATAAGTTCTATCTACCAGCAGTGATCATTTAAAATATCCATGAAAATGAAGTATGCATCGACCAATGTCGCTTGCCTTTGGACATTCGTGTACCTGATTCAGCTGTTGTCGAATCAGCAATACGATGACTGGATGAAGCAAGAGGATTCCATATAAAATTGTTGGGACTGCCTCCATATAGACTCCCAGAGGGAGTGCGGTAATGGTTATAGAGTCTACTGCCATCTACCCTCCTCCAGCTTCTACTTCCACGACCACTCAAGGATAACGATCTTCTGTGAACAGAAAACGTTCGAGATGATGTGCCCACGTAGTCTTCACCATGCAGTTGGTCCAAGTGCGAGCTCGATAACGGGGGCACATATCCCTCATTGGTGTGCCAACGGGGTTTATCTCCCAAACTTGACCAATTGTGACCATTGTCGGACGATCCATGTGGCCTTGCGGCCACACAGCAAAGGGACCCCGTTTTGACTGCTTGACTGTACACACTCTCCTCCTTTTGTCTTTCAATGCAGTTAACTCCCTTCTTCTCAAAACCGGAGACAGTTATTGTAGCCGTGGCGCCTGACTTTATCTTCCTGGGATCAACAGCGATAGTAGATGGTTGACCGCATGGATAGTTGAGGTGCTACAAGTCCTGCAAAGCAATGTTACCAATCATATAATAAATCAGCCTTGCTGCGCAATTTGGAATCGGCCTACCTGACCCCTCAACTATCAGTATTTATATGATGTTTCTTCAAAACCACGCAGCTAATGAAAACGACAATGTTGGAACCATTTGATCAACGATGAAGAGTCCTGCTAGTGGAATCACTGTTAGAGAGGATCTTTACCACCATCAATCTCCAGCAAGGTGGATGGAGTTCCGATGGTATCGTGAGCGTTCGCAGTATCAAAACTAATTACGTAGGAAACATGGACATGTACAGAAACCAATCAAACCAATGTTTTCACACGGTTTATCACTATGGATCGAGAACTGACCGGAAAATACGTTGAAAGATATTATCCTGCATTGTCTAGGCGTAATATCCAGAGGTAAATCACGCCCTCGTGCCAACGTGGTGCCACGATTTTGAAGAGCATGTCATGTCATGTCATACATACCATTCTACTTAATTTCCAGGGTTCAAATGAATCTTACACAATGTGTAACCTGTATCCTGCGACCACCAAGCAGGAGACAGAAATTGCTTAAAGAACTGTGGGTATGAAAATCCACTTATGTGCAAAAAGTAATCTTACGAGGCATTCATCTTTAAGATTCTGATTCTTCTTTCGTGAAAGATAACTGAACGCGCCAGCAGCAAGAAGGCACAGATGCGAGTGAAACGTGTAGAATCGTTCGAGACTTACCCGAATCAGCTTCAATTGCAGAAAACTTGTCACCATAACATGCCACAGAGTCCGTATCTAACACGATCTCCGCCACGTATCAAGTAAGGAAGGGGCACTTGGAACAACTCGAACCAATTCAAGAACGTGTAGTTAGCGCTATCTTCATTGCCAGAACAGTACCTCTCTACAGTGACAAAGCAGAAGTGAGCGACCTGCTTCAGATGCCCGAGCGCACTGGTATACTCACTATAAAAACAGATAAACTGCACACAAGCAACGTATTCCCAGAATTAGAAGTGATTCGTACCTGCTAAGACAGTAAACCACCTCAATTGCCCTTGCTAAGCGCACCCTATTGTTAAGAACCTCTCGAGACACATCTTAAAAAACTTTGGATCAAGGTTAGGTCTGATAGAAGACACCACACCGCAATTCCTCGATCAGATCGGTAGACTTTAAGAAATAATCAGATCAAAGAAATTAAAACCATTGTTTTGAAATTTTAAAATTAAAAAAGACAAAAAGGCAAAAAGAAAAAATCATGCACGGAAATTCTGCCAAAGACCACCCGAAAAGTGTACGAGTAGACAAGCCTTATCAGCGTCCTTCGATTGTAACAAACAAATTAAGTCACGAAAGTGATTCCCAAGCACTCGATACCTTCTATGCAAAGTGGAAACAAACCAAACCCCAACCAGTTCATCTAGCACCCAATAAAACACGACCATGTCACACCATCTCCCAAAAAAACAAACGGAAGAAGCGACTAACCAATCAACACACAAACACACAAAACAAAACCAAAAAATAAACAAACGTTGCTGAACTGCAATCAACACACGTGAAACCTTCTTTCCACTTCAAACAGCCGTAACCTCCATAATGACACGTTGAGCACCATGGCCTACGGAAATCTCAGATGGATGCTGCTCGATTCAGAAAAGAAACGCAGCTCTCCATAATCCACTCGCAAGGAAAGAAAGAACCCCAATTATCCCAGCCAACCACCATAGCCCCCCCCCCCCTCCACGCTCAAAACCAAATACCTGAAATTTCCCAATCCCATACTCATCTCCTCTCTCCGACCGCCTCAACCAAAGATTGCTAACGCGACGTGAAAAAGAAGGAAGGAAAAGAACGAAGAAGAAACGACGCTAATCCCGGAAGAGCGACGCCCCTCGCAAACATCGAAACACGAAAACGCCCGGCATCTCACCCTCTTCCCAGACGAAAGTCTACCAGCACGGGAAAGAAACAACGCAATTGAGAGGGAGGCGTGGCGGTCGATGAAGAGGAAGAAGAAGGAAGTAGACGAAGGGCACCTGGAACCAGGGAAAGGTGTAGCCAGGGTGTGAGAGCGGAGTGAGGGAGGGAGGAATTGAGCAGAGTAAAGCAGAGCAGAGTAGAGAAGCTTGGACGCCACCGAAGAGCTTGCTCGCTGTTGTTGTTGGTGGACGCAGCGCAACGCAACGCAATTCTCTTCCTGTTCTGTGAGACATAACATACACATAACATTACACATAGCTCTCTCTCTCTCCTTGTCTCATTCTCCGTCTCAGTCCCCCCCCTCCCCCCCTGTTACCCGTGCCCGCGCACTGGCCCTCCTTCCCCCCCGCTTCCGTTTTCCTTTCGTAAGTAACCCCTCTCTTCCTTCGTTCATTCATTCACTCATTCATTCACTCATTCATTCACTCATTCATTCACTCATTCATTCATTTATTCATTCATTCATCCATCCATCTCAGTTTATTGGTTTCCTTCCTTCCTTCCTTCGTTTGTTGGTTGGCTTGTGCTTGAGCCATAATTATATTTTATACTTTATTTTATTTTACCCTTTCCATGTAGTAAGTTGTGTTCTGACTCTCTCTCGCTCTCTCTCACGCTGGGTCTTCTTCTTCTTCTCCTGGTTGGCTGTTTTTTTCTGGCCCGACCCTGCCACGGGGTGTCACCATGCAACTACTGCGACTCCCTCCTGCTACTACTACAACTTACTCCAGGAAATAATCCGAGTCATCAGCGCACACAGGGAAGTGAGAGGAAGGGAAGGGAAGCAGAGAGAGAGGACCTCCTCTCTCTCCGTCTCGCTCTCTCCCAGTCAAAGTAAGAAGAAGACGAAGAAGACTTTTTGCAATTGCTATTATTGACATTTTGCAATACAGTGTGTGAAAAAAACAAAAAGGGAGAGGGGGGGGGGGCACATTCTGCCAAACCCTAAAGAAAGAGAGATCAATCATCTGCCTCCTCTCCTCTTCTCTCCCCCACCTCTTCAGCCAGCCCATCATCATCCATCCCCCTTCTTCCCCATTTACCTCCCTTCCTTCCTTCCTCGTTCTCATCCATCAGCAAAGGCATTGCATGTCAGTCAGTCGGCAAAGGAAAGGAGAGAGAGCTGGGGATTGACTGGGCTGCTATATAATGCATTCATTTATTCTTTCTTTTGGAAGGAAGGGAGGGCCTTGCTCCTCTCTTTCCTCCCCTAACACGATTGTTGCTTGCAGGCCCCAACTCTGACTTGCTTCACACTCACAGGAAGGCAAACACACACACAGAAAGGAGTAAAGAGAAGGGGGGAATGTCAGAGATCTCACACTGGAAACAAAGTATTCATAAATTTTTGTGTATTGCCAAAATTTTGATTTCTTATTATTATTATTATTATTAGTAGTAGTATTTATATTCTAATAATTAAGTATGTGAAAGCATAATTAAAAATATAATGTTTTTTTTTAGAAAAAAGAGAAAAGAGAAAAGAACACACGTCATCATCATATGACAACCGTAAAGAATGGATTCCTATTTTGTAGTATTCTACTAATAAAAATAAGAGAGTTTTTTTGTTATGTATATACATATATATATATATATATATTCCACCTTCATTTTAGGAATAATATTTATATTTTAAGGTTTAACGATTTTACTTATTTTTAAAATTTTAACTTAATTGGGTGGGGGGGGGAGATCAAAGGGCGAGGATTTCCGAAGGAAGCTCCAAATGCAGATGCGACCATATTAACGATTAAGCTGCTCAACTAGGAGGCGTTTCAGCTCAGCTTCCAGAAGAGCCCCTGGAACCAAGTGGATGGGGAAAGTATAGGTGGCAGACACAGTCAGCACCCGCCAAAAATCAGCCAAGGCGCTGGAGGAGGCTCGTGTGCGGCAACAGACACGAAAGGGGACTATGGCAGATTATCCATTGTCGAGGAGGAGCATCACACCGCAAAAGTCTCCCTGCAACTGCAAATGGATCTGCCGCTAATACCCCACCCCACCCAACCCCCTACTATTATTATTATTATTATTATTATAATCTGAGAGGGGGGTGATGGCGTGCACCCAAATCTGAAGTATCCGGTGCCGCTGCACCATCAATCGGAAGGAGAAGAAGAAACAGAAGAAGAAGAAGAAGAAAAAGTGTCCCACCATCACCGGAGGCGGCGATTGATGCTGCCCTCTCACGTCGAGTTCCTCGACTTTGGATTCATTCGCTCCCTCGAATCCGCCTCCGCATTCCAGGGGGTGGTCCGTCCCAGGCTCTTGAGCTGTCTCGGAATCTCGCATCGTCTGTTCGGAATAGTCACACGGGAATCCTTCAATTCTGGCTCCTTCGATGTGTCAGTAGCAACACGGCTCATTCTCTGAAAGAGAAGCTGATTTTGAGGGGGACTGGAAAGCCTGGGGCACACGCTCCCACCCTTTCCAGACCTTTCCTTCCATGCTACGGAATTGATCAGCTGCGTCGAGTCGCAAGCTGAGGGGGGGGGGGGATAGTTCCCCGTTGCAAACAGCAATGCCTCTCCTCCGCCTCCTCCTCCTCCTCATCGATGCGAAGGGCGAGTTGCGTGCGTGCGTGCGCAGGAGGAGACGCCTCCGGTAGAGATTATTCCGGAATTGCGCACTCGTTCATTCCAATCATCTCCACACCATTGCATCATCGGAGATACCACCACCACCACCACCACCTCCATCCTCATCGCAAAACACACACACACTCGCTTACATACACTAACATGCACACACGACGAAGCTGACGACGACGACGAACGAAACATGGTGACGAACGAAGCATAAAGGCGACGGTGTCCGACGAGCGAACGTTGTTCATTGGATGATGGATGAGTTGCGCCTCGTTCGGGAGAGTATCATCCATCCGTGGCTGTTCGTTGTTACGATTGCTCCAAGAAGAATAAAATGGTGTCTGATCCATTTAGTAATGAACTATTTTTTTCTTTGGTTTTATGTGGATTTGGATGTTCTATTGATGTATATTTACTGCCTCATCAAATCAATACTTAATTTTTTTTCTTGGATTGAACAATAGCCATGCTTTGTGATGCATTGACAACACCTTGTTTTTTTTTTGATGATGTATATATATTGAAAATAAGATAAAAATATTTTGTGGAATTTCTAGAATAGAATGATTTATGCATTTCTATTTTTTATCTTATTTTTATTGGTTAAAAAATTTATGTTTTAAACCATGAAATAGTAATTTTAATTAGAATATTTTGAACAAGCATAAGGGTGGAAAGTTTATATTTTTAATTTTAAAAAATAAATAAAAGAAAATAAAAATATATTTATATGGAAATTGAGTGCTATGTTTTGAAATGCATGTAAAAAAATAAAATAAAATAGATAAATACTTTGAGATGTGTGAGAATAATGAATTAATGTATGTGTAACACTCATTCTATCACTTAAACACAGGATTGTTTTGGATTTTCATGCATCTACATGAATATAATAAGATAATCTCTCTAATTCACATAATTAAATTCAAAAATGATATTGATTTTTTTTAAAAAAAAATATTTAGGCTACAAAATTACATTCTTTTTAAAATAAAAATTGGTTATAAAATCAATAATTATAATCAAATATGAGTTATTATCTATAAAATATTTCTAAAAATGATGGAAATAAATTAAAAATAATTTATCAACTTAATATTTTGAAGTTCTAAAATTTTCTTCATGATTTGCATTAGAAAATAAATTACATAATCAAATGTAGTTCCTGGGCAAATGTTGAAAACCATTGAATGCTTCTCAATTCCTTCAAAATTTAAATCTATCAATTATGAATTCATCCTTTGTAAGACAAACTAGCTTGTATCAGATTTGTATTTTTCAAACAATTTTTACTATAATTCTTTCAATTTTAACAATCAAGTTTCATAACATCATATATTGATCTATTAAAAAAAAATGATTATTTTGTGCAATATTGAATTAACAAGATGTACTATACCATATATATATTGATGGATGTACCTTCTTGCAATAATATTTATTCCAAGTTGTTAAAATGTTTAATACTGACTACAAATGCATCCATTCTAGTTTCATGATTCTACTAACATAGTACAATGCCAAAAGTATATCAATCATATCTAATGCCAAACTTATGAAATTCTCCAAAAATTAGGATCCACTTTATTTCACAAATCTAGAGTCATCCAAAACAAATCCCAACTTTACAAAGCTCTTACAAATTCAATACACATTCAAATTACATCAAATCAACACTGAAAGAAAATCTATCAAGTCTGCTATCAAATTCTACCCTTCAATTTCCAAAAGAATCCTAGAATCGTTGTTGAGGTTTGGTTTTGTGCCTCGAGGTCTAATTTCGACCCTCGTTCATAATCGGCCCTCTCTAGGTATCAATATCTAGTTTTTCTAGATAATTTTTGCTAGAATTTACTCTTAACTTCCTTGTAAAGTTGTCTATTTCATTTATTTTGAGGATTTGTAGATATATATGTGTTCAATATATGCTGTGTGTTTTAGCTTGATTAAAGGATTGGATAAAAGATTATTCAAGTTTAAGTGGATCAAAGTCTTGGAAAATAGAGTTTTAGGTTTAGTGAGGATTTCTAAGCTTTCTTGCAATCTATCTATTGGAGTGAAGTGAAAATAATGTATATAGATAATAAACTTATTTTCCTACGTATGTGAGAAATTTAAGATCAATCAAACAATTTAATAAGGAGATATTGATACTAAACATTCAACATTCATATTAAAGAAGGAGGCTAGCCAATATCCGAGAAAATATTAAAATTGATCTTCTTTTTGGTGAGTTCAATCTTCTTCAAAATATTTTTATTTGTAGTCAACTTAATTATAAAGAGGTGTGCAAAATTTGAGTTAAAATCAATGGTTCATTCATTAGTTATTAAGGTTTAAATCTGCTATAGGAATTATTTTGATTATTTAGGATTTGGTTAGAATATGTTTGGGGTTTGATTAGGATTCGGTTAAGGTTTGATTAGGATTCGGTTAAGGTTTGTTTAGGTTTGTTTAGGTTTGTTTAGGATTTTACTAGGATTTATTTAGGATTGAATAGAATTTAGTTAGAATTTGTTTAAAATTTGACATGGATTTGATTAAGATTTGTTTAAGGTTAGAATAGGATTTAGTTAGGATTTATTAAGTTTTGATTAGGATTTAATTAAGATTTCTATTTTAATATTTTATTAAGATTTTTATTTTAGTATATTTTTTAATTCTTATGTTATTTCTTTATGATTTCTTTAAAGGGTCTTTAGGAATACTTTG